TGACACCAATTCTTCATCATTATGGTGGCTCCTCCTCAAATGCCACCCATTAAGAGAGCCTATGTCAGTATCCAAAACCCTTCAACTGAATTAGCCTAAGTTTGTACAAAACTCTTTGTAGCCACAAATTACAATATGTAAATTATCGATTCACATGAACAAATCAGAAATAGTCAAAAAAAAATAGAAGTGATGGAAATCAAACCACTACTAAAACACAATCTGAATGAAATTTATTCCTCACAGAAGTTATACTTCATTATATTACAGGTCTGGGCTCTTCAAGAAATGAAAGCGAAACACATAAGGAACTTCAGAAGTGAAACTTCAGTATTCTATGCCAATAATAGGAGGCTTAAAGAGGAAAACAAGAGGGTTTTGAGTGTGCATGCATACACACAGAGGCAAATACAAAGCTCCACTTTTTCTTCTAAAGTATGGAAGACGAGATTTGTTAGGTTTTGGTGGGGTTTTTTTCGTTTGTTTAAGTTCATGTGCATATGTGGTATATGAAACACGGAGATGCACAAATACTAACTTTGCCAAAGTAGAGAGGAATAAAGAATGACCTTATTCCATTCCAGTTGAGAATTTTTTGAAATTGAGGATGCAGTAATTGCAAAACTGCCTGATTCCTGAAAAAGTTTCCACTCATCAGATTCCCAGCTGATTAGCAGTGTGCAGCATGTTCATTTCCTTCAGCAGATGCTTCCGATGTTCGTTACCAAGAATTGCTGCTGGAGTACTGCTCTGGTTCCAAAAGAGGCTAAGCAGAAGAGTTCAGCAGACACTTTGGGAATAATATAACTGAAAATACTATCAGCACCTAGCACTCTGATATTCATCAGTGTATTTCTTTCCACCCTCTATGTAAGAGGCTACTCAAACACTAAGTCAGACAATCTGTTGGCAAACAAACCATAATGTTTGCCACTGGATCTCCCTTATGACTGCTCTTCCTATCAAAAAAACTGAACTAATTCTCCCATCCTCTCATGAAACACTAAGACAGTCTCCTTTCGATCTCAATCTGCTCAAAACATGAACACTGTATTCACATAAGCCTTCAAAACACCTACCACATAGCTAATAATCAAGTTACAATATCAGCGAAGGACAACAACAACGACTCCTGAAGTTCTAATAAAATTTCAAAGCCACGATGAAGAAGAAAACTGCATACTAAGCTATTTTATTCAACAGAAGCAAAACCAGAGTGAACTTGTTGGATGATGGCAGCATACAACACCAAAAATGTAACTCTGTAAATGATTTAAAAAAAAAATAATTTCAAAGTTGAAGGGAAACGAGCACTAATAGAATCCCACATATTATTTCAAGCATAGATGTTAACAGTATAAAGCTTTCTTTTTTATACAAGGGAACAGAAGGGAATCTGGTTGGAGGGAGATGACTTAAAACTGGAGAGCAATTGTCTTTATTCAAAGTCATTTTAAGAATTCTGAGCACTTCATTATTTTGCCAGATTCTATTTCATGAAGTAGATTAAGGATTTTACATGATTTCCACCCAGTGTTGCTGGCTGCTTCCCAAGTTTTAGGCAGTTTAGTTTGGGGAGCTTAAACAACCTGATCTTCTTATATTCAGCATTCAGTCACTTTGTCTTTCAGCATCTTTTCAGTCCAGGCTGTATAAGCTGCCTTCCTCCGGGACAGCAAGATGGATTTATCACCCAGAAAAGAAGAAGCATATGTTCTTATTTAATCCTTATTCTGTTCGTACAAAATAAATCCATATTCTACAGAAGAGCAACAGAAAACAGTATGCACACATTAAATCATGAAGCATAGACATTCTTTTCACTAAACATACTGTTCCATGGCTATTTTTAGAGTAAACTACTCCCTACATCATCTCATACAGGTAAAGATCAGAAAGCAGTAGTGAAATTTACCTTGTATGTAACAAAACCACCAGAAAAAAAAGGTGAAGGTTTTTCTTCACCTACTAATAGGCTTGGTACAACCAGCACTAATTATGTGAACTGTGGGTGCTGCAGTAAGGAGAGTTTCTCATGAAGTACAGTCAGAGTCATTACAGAGAGATGAAGAAAGAAAAAGGTAAATCACCCATTCAGACTAAATTGAACTTCGTGTCCCCAGGCAAAATGGTTTCAATAATAAAAAACAAGAACGAACCGGTTCCTCCTTTTTTGAAAGCTTTTTATGAAACAGCGAAAGTATTTTGAAAGAACCGAGATCACCTCATTGATTTAGGAGCAAAGACATACCCACAGCCTGCAAACGACTTCAAACGCTGTCCTCCTGAGGACAAAGATTAGCAGACTGAGTACCAGTGATTCCCTCCACCCTACTTGCATTTTCTACACACAAAGCTGTTTGTTGAGATAAAGCATTTGCACAGCACTAAGTCAAAATTCATTCCTGTATTTAGGATTATGAGTCATGCTGAAAAAGCTATCATACTATTTCATGGGGACAAGGTGACAGAGCTTTTCAGACAAATAAGACCGTATAATAACAAGAATCTTAAGAGTGAGCCTTCATTTAAAGAGTATTCTATCATTGGTGCAATTATCAAGAGAAATTGATGTAACAAGACGTAATGCAAGAATGGAGAATTCATTTACTCAGGTTTGCTGACCACAATACCAGAAAGAAAAAAATATTCTCAAAAGATGAGATGATTTTGTACCACATCTAGAAAAGATGGAACTTACAGTCCTTATGTTAACAGGGAGAAAAGCCTCTACCTAGATTTAGTTCCTCAAAACTAAGTGATATTTATTCTCCCCTAAATATATTAAAAAGTAAGTCTACCTTAAACAGCTGCTAAAACTCAAGGGAGACAATAAAACAGACCCCACAAATACTTGTTTAATGTAGGTCCGCACACCTAGACAATCACATCAGGTCAGTCCCTGCTTCTCAGAGACAAGACCTGCGATCAAACCACAATATGATGTTGATGTGTAAGAAATAACGAACCTGGCAAATGAAAAGCACTGTTATTTCCAGTCTAAAGCTCAATGCATCTCTGGCAAAAAAAAAAAAAAAAAGTAGCAGACATGGCAGCCCAAGGCAAATTTGGCAAAGAGATGACAGCTTTCAGGAACCTTTTTCTCAAATTCACTTCCTAGAGGTTCACAAAGCATTGGAGAGGGAACAAAATCAGCAACCGGGTGGAACCGAGAGCTGGTAAATGGCATCGTCAGGGGGAGAGATTTCAACAGACTCTCGCCCGGGATTCATTCTCCCTCCCACCCACCGCACCGCCACCCGCGCTCGCCAAAACCTCCCACCGCCGCTCCGTCCCCGCGGGGCGCGCCCGGGGCGGGCACCGCGGGGCTCCCGGGGCCGCCCCCTCCTCCGCAGACCCCCCTCCCCTGCCCCGCCGGGCCGGGGGGCGCCGCCGCCGCTCCCCGAAGGTCGTTCCGCAAGGTGACGGGGGCGGCCGGGCCGCGGCGAGCACGGGCCCCGCCGCGCCGGGGCGGCTGCGGGGCGATGCCCTCCATCCCTCCCGCTCCGCACCAGGGGCGATGCGACCGCGGCGCTGGGCGTGGGGCGGGCGGGCGGCCCCCTCGCCGGCGCGGCGACCCCCGCAGCGGGGCTGGGCGCGGCGGCGGCAGCTGCACCCCCCCGGTCCCCGCAGCCCCCGCAACCCGGCGGGGTCTCAGCTCACCTGGTGGCGGTGCCCGCAGGTCCCCGCGCCGAGCGCAGCGCAGCGCCCATGGCCGAGCGCGGGCGGAGGCGCGGCCGCGCCCGCCGGGGGACGGGCCAGGCGGGGGCGGGCGGGCGCCGGGGAGCGTCTGCAAAGTGCCGGCCGCGCTCGGGGAGCGGGAGGAGGGAGGGAGGGGCGGGCGAGCGGAAACGCCTGTGACAGGCACAGGCAGAGCGAGGGAGCGTCTGCAAAGTGCGCGCCCGGCGCGGGGGCGAGGGGAAAACCTCCTGGGCACGGGGATGGGCACCGGGAATGGGGATGAGCAGGGGCACCGTCACCCGTGCGCAGCCGCCGCCCGCCGCGGCGAGTCCGTGGAGGCGGCTCCCGGCCTCCGCTGCCTCCCCCCGGCTCGTCCTCCTCCGCAAATTCACGAGGTCAGGCGCGGCTCCCGACTCTGGCAGCGATGCGGTTTTGTCCGCGGTAAGCGGACGCATTGCATCAGCCAGCGTTTTACTGAGCGTTAGACACAGGTATTTTTATTTATTTATCCACTTAGGTCGTCTTAAGAACTCTCTACAAGCTCCTGGAAGTTCACTTCTCAGAGCCATTAACGCAAAAAAAAGCTACTGTTTTTTGCAATAAGATGACTCTATTTTGTAGTGGCGAGACGGTCTCTATTTAGCACAGCTTCAGAGCGGTCTATTTTCCCAAGCCTGCATAACGGCTAATAGAAGCTGGGTGACATCTCGTGGCCAATCCTGCTCTCTGGTATGGATAGAGGCTTCTTTCACTAGGAGAAGATCAAGATAAAAGTAAAAAAAAAAAAAAGTGTTTCTGGTTACCTCCACAGCCTAATATAAGTTAAAGGGAGATATGTATAGGTTATAATCAGATGCAGAACTCTAATCAATGTCTGTTACATATTCTTCACATGCCGTGAATCATCAGAAAATGTTTACAAAAAAAAATAAAAATCATGTGAGTATGGTTTTGGTGACAACTCACAAAAATCCCAGCTGGTGTTCAGTGCTATTCATCTGGGGTTTCTCCACACAGGACAGAAAATGGTGATGTACACAATGCGTGCTGAAGGACACTCGTCTGCACCCACAAGCATCTGCAATAATGCTGTGCAATCTGGAGTTTTAGTTTTCACCCAGCATTATGCTCTGTTCCTGGTTGGAAATGCTTGCTGGCATTTAATGAGAGGTTAGGGATTTGAAAATTTTACAAGGAGTTGAATGATCAAAGCCTTGGATATCTTTCTGTGTGAGGTGGGTAACTTTTAAAATTCTTTGCTATGGCTTGTGGAACAGGCTTTTGTCACAAGGAAACAAAGCAGGTAAAATAACAGCAACTACAGCACTTTCCATGCTTTATGCTTTTAATTTACATAGCTCGTATGCAGTCACTTTTGAGTTTTATATGTTCTGATATAGAAATATTATATATCAGAAAATATCAACAGTGGTCTCTTAGCAGAGCTCTTACTGAAGGGAACAGCAGCCCTTATTAGCCAACAGTTTTAAAACTGGATCATACCAACCAGATCCTCCTTTCAAGAATAGGAAGTTACACTGAATATTCCACAGTATTCATATCTGACATAGCTAAAAGAAAAAAAAAGGGCGTTTATGAGCAAACTGTGTACTTCGATTAAGGAAGTGAAAGCTGTGTAGGTGAGTGAGCTCCCTGCTCACAAAATGTTTCTTGAGAAAGATTGGATTCTTGCAACATAAGGAGCAAGAGACTGAAAGAAGAGAGAACATAAACCCCTACAGCATTAAAGTTTTAGGAGAATCTGAGAGCAGTTGAGCACTTACATGTTTGTTCCTCATTTTAGTGTGTGACAAGTAGGCCAGCAATTATTCAGATTTAGCTGTCTCAGGCCTGTCCCACATTTAAAGCTTCACCCATCTTCTTGCTCATTCCCTGCCCATGGGGAGAGAGTGTGGGTGGAGGCCCCAGGTGAGGGTGATTAGGACCATTAAGGCCTGTTATTGCAATCAGGACCCTGTTTTTGGCATCTCACCTTGCCTGTTTGCATCTTTCCAGCTCCAGACTCCATGTACTGATCCCATTATCCTTGGGTGCAGAGAGGAATGATTACTGAAGTGATTAAAGATGGCTGATACCTCTGATGTATGAGAACACTCAAACATAGCATATGGCTAGGACTGAGCCCCTTAGCTATACCTGTTAATAGAGAACTTTTGGGTTATTGTGAGGTGTATCTTATTAATGAGGAAAACAATTATATTCTGGTAGAGACATTCAATATATCAGCTACTGATACTGTTTTCCTGCTTAATTTTCATGTCCAAAGGTTGTGGACAAAGCCCTGCCCTGAGTGGATAACAAAACCTCCCTTGATTTTGTGCCAGTTGCAGCTTTGGAGTGGTAGAGAACTCAAACAGATGAGGTGAAGAAGTCACAGCTATAGTAACTTCAGCTTGCTTACTGTGCACTCAACATAAAGGACAGAAGTGATCCTTAGAAGACATTGAACACATTTCAGTCTTTCCATGTTGAGAGACCAATTTTTTGGCACATCTCTATACTGAATTTTGAAAAATTCTGATTACGGACCAGCAGTGGATGATAACCTAAATGTAAGTGCACAGAAATCACCAGTGCTAACTCCAGATTTGCTTAATGTCACCTTTAAAATAGCATACTTGTTGAATTTTCCATCTCTTTTTGTTCAAAGAATGAACTACTGTAACATGGAGAAACGTGTCTAGAGCATAAAAGAATTCTGTAATTATTGACAGGCAATACCTTCACAAACCTTTCCCTAGCGAAGTATGTGAAAGCTGTGTTCCCCTTTGACTTGTAACACTGTATAACAAAATTACAGCACATATATAAAATATAGTTTGCGTTTCCTGGTAGAAAAATCTGTTAATATACATTATTAGAGAATATAGATAGAGAAAATACTTTTAATATAGAAATCTGTTTCTTGTGAGGTGGACTACATCTAACATACCTGCCTTTGTTCTGGTTCTTATCCCCATCTTGTCTCAGGTAGACAGACACAGTGTTACATCATGTTGTACTTGTATTGCTACAGCACTAATCACTACAGCACCTGGGATAGGAACTAGAGACCATTTGCATTATAATCTTCATCTCTTTTAAAGCCCCCTTGCCTGGTTTCTGGAAGGTCTCCCTCCCTCTATTCAGTTTCTTTCCTTCTTTTATAACCCCCCCATATGCTCCTCTGAATAAAGGGTTATTAGCTAAGTGGATACTAAGTGGACTCTTTGATGGTGGGCTGAATATTTTATTATTAATGTTGAACATGACTTCAATAAAACAAAAAAGGAGAAGAGGAAAAAGAAGAAGGTAAAACTGAAATTTGAACCAGAGATAAGATAAAAAAAGACCTTCCTGAAAAGTATCATAGCCAAACACAATAAGCATGTCTTGAGGCTTCCAAGATATGCTTTTAAAGCTTTCTGTTTGATGTCTCCCTCAGCTTTATTGATACAATTGAATTTACTGCAAAATGATAACTGACTCAACAGCCAGCACAGTCTCCTCTGTGCTGGAGATCAGAAAACTCATGTGTTCTTGTTCAAGAACGTCTTGCTTTTTTGTTTGATTGCTCTGATTTCTAAGGACCTCATCTATATTTTTTGAAATACAGTACAATATACTTCTGAAGAGCTGCCATATTCAACCCTAGTAATATTCCGATCACAAAGTGATATTTTGAAAAGTCACCCTCTCTCTCTTTTGCTTCTTAATCACATTTCAAAGTTGCTGTAGAATAACCTTGGTTTAACTCTGATTAAATATAAAAATATTAGGAAATAGAAAATGTTCCTGTCCTTTCCCCATATTCAGGCACACCCCCAACACCCCCCTCCCCCACCACCAGTTTTAACATGAGTAAGACTTTGCAGTTTAACTGCATCCTTTTCACCAAGGTTTTATGGATACTGAAAAGTCAGATTTTTAAAAGGTATCATTAACTCTGCCCAGTACAGAAAAAACTCCCAAAAGCCCCCAACAACAACAAAAAAAATGCAAACAAAAAACCCCCACCCAAAACAAAACCAAACAAAAAACCCAATAAAAGTAAAGCAAACTAATAAATTATTATTTGACTCTTGCCTTTGAAAATTTTATTCTGTCCCCTGTCCGTAAATGTAACAACTGGGATATAAAATTTTCCACCAGAAAATTTTGATCGATATTGCAACAGATCTACCCATTACCACAGATGTTGTAAATATAAACTGTACTATTCCATTACCTTTGCACTGAGTTATCAAACAGGACATAAACTCTTGGCTTTAGGTACCAAACCAGACATTTCTAAGAAGTATTTAATGTGTGTGGTAAGTGTACTAAGGAACTCCCCATTTGCAGGAAATTATTATCACAGTAACATTTCAGTGCAAAGTGGCATGTAATTCTAAAATTTCACAGGCCCACTATAAATCTGGTAGAGCCGATTATCCACTGTCTTCTTCACTTTGTAGTAATTAATAAGAATGGTGTTATTTTACATCCACCTGTCATACAGGTTTGAATGACAGCTCAGGGTACAAGGGATACTCTGTGTTCTCATTCAAATGCAAACTGAAATTCCATCATGATTTACTTTACAGATTTCATTGGACCTGGGGGAATTAAAACCAAGTCACTGGCCATTCATGGAGATTTGCCAGAGAGACTGAGCAGCAGATAAATTATTAAGGTATAAAAAGGAGAAAGACTAAGTAAGAACAAAAGCAGTGAGGACATAGTAGGAAATATGGATGGGTTATTTGTGTTGGTGTTCACTATGGAGGTAGTAATTTCCTAAGTTTCCCCTGCAGTATTATATTTATGAAGCTATTGTCTCAAACTAAAGAATCAATAGAAGAGTTATTAGATTGAATCAGTAAAATTAACAGTACCAGGACTTGATGGTATTTGTGTTTTGAAGCAACTTATGTATGAAATTTCTGAGTGGTTGTCTCTGCTACATTGTTTTATCAACATCTTTTGTAATTATCAGAAGCACCAATTTCAAAAAGACCTGTAGTGTTAACTCTGAAAATTGGAAGTGGATGGTTTAGTCTCACTTCTTCCTCAATGAATCTGCAGAAAATGTACTTAAGCTGTCTATAGATAGCATATGTATGACAGTTTAATATGTATACATGATCCTCATCTGCAGAGCTAACCAATAAGCTCACAGGTTGTTTTATTATTTGAAGGAGTTACTAAGCATTGTTCTAGTATAGATAATAGTCTCTGTTCAGATACCTGTAAACTTTTTCACAAAATCTTGAGCAAACAGAGCAAATGGTGTCACTAAAGGAATGACATCTTCATGGGATATAAGGCACTTAAAAATATAGGAGTAGAAAAAGACAGAAAACAAAAGTAGAACTAGAAATATGGAATCATTTCTCTGTGGATGGAGTTTGTCTTTGGAATCTCGGAGGACCTTGTTTTGTGACCTTGCTTTTTAGCATATTTGTAAATGGTCTGGAAAGAGGATGAATATTGAGATGACTATTGCACATGATGTAAAATTGCTGAGGATAATAAAATCTAAATATGATTGCAAATTGTTGCAGAAGGATACTATGATACTATGTGATAGGAAAATAAAAGAGCATATATGATTTAATGTTGATAGTGCTTTGCATGATAAATGCAAAATTACATTAAAAATGAAAAGTGACTGCTTATATAACCAAAGGGACTTTTGATATTACTAATCAGAAATGAGATTGTGAAATTACTTTGAAGAGTCTCTGAAAATATCAGCTCCATGTTCAATAGTGATCCAAAAACAGAATTCTGGAAATTATTAAGAAAGGATTTGTGAAAAAAACAAAACATCCCATTGTCTGTAAAGATCTATGGCACACTCTGATTTGTATCCATCAGTTCTCTTTCCCTACTTCAAAAAATATATAGGAAAGCAATGAAGGATGATGGGAGTGATCAGAGGCTTCAAATTACATCATATGAGAAGAGATGAACCTGACTAGAAATTAGAGAAGAAGACAGCTCGGGAAAGAAGTGATAAAGATTTACTAAAATAAGATTATGAAATCACAGATCATACAAGGATGAAAGACGTGGAATTGTTGAGTGTTCGTCAAAGCAAAAAAATCTGTGGCACTCAGTGAAATTTGGAATAGTGGATTTCAAATAAATAAAATTAAATACTCATCCAGGCAAAATCTAAATTAAATTGTAGAATCTGCATGATTTTCTGGATGCCAAAAATATAAATGGATGCAAAAAGTAGTTACATAGTTCAAGGATAAGAGGTCCTTTATCGGCCATTAAATAGGTAGCAACTTTCAAGAAACCTCTAGTCTCTGACTGATAGGAAGCTGGGAAAACATTCCCTGGGAGGCATCATTCTGGTTTTGTCCTGTTTCTTACACTGCTACACACTAAGTGTCTCCTCATGTTCTTTCTTCAAGATACTGAGCAGCTGGTCCTTCATCTGCCTCAGCGCATCTGCTACAATGTCCTTATTCCTTCCTTTTATTTGCCAATTCATCTGGGCATATGCTTCTTTCCTAAGGTCTGAATCCCTCACCTTAAAAGAAATGACCTAAATAGGACATAATGCCTTTCCTTTATGATGAAATTCAACCTCTTCAAGGTGCAGAATTGCTCCAGTTCAAGAAGGCCTAACAATTTGTAGACTCCATTCTTCTTTCTGGCTTTATAGGTCCCATGCAGGTCCTGGCATATTTTGAACAGTGAACTGGAATGACTTCAAAATAACAGTTTTAAATAATTTTGGAAATGTTACTTTGCTGTGTCCCAGATGAACTTTACATATATATATAAACAGATGTATATACATATGTGTATACGTATGTGTATATGTATATATCCATATATCCGTGTCTCTTTACCCCCATTTGTGGCTGTTGTACTGCATCTCACAGAACTGTGTCTCATGGAAAAAATCTGGAAAATCTTGATTGTGAAGAGTGAAATTCCCAATTTTTAACTGATAAGTGCCCTTAGTGTTGGTTGTGGCCAGTGTAATGTAGTGCTAAATTTAGAATAGAGAGTATCTAGTTAGATCTCTGGTACATTATCACAAGTGTAACAAAGGACTCCAGGTCAATGCCAAAATGAAATTATGAAGTTAATCATTTTTCAGCCTTAACTTAGTTAAGTATCTGGTTTTCTGTTGTTATTGGATACCCAAAGCAAACACTAGGATCCAAATAATCCTTATTTTTGAATCTGGTTTTACAGTTTGAACCGGGATATCAGTTGTGATTTCAGCATTGGGCCAACTGCTTTAAGTAACAACACATCTAGGAAATACACTATCTCCTAAAATCTCCAGAACTTTTGACAGACTTCCCAATCTGGATATTACTGTTGTACATGCCTGTAACTTTCTTAAGTGATCCTTGATTGTTGTTTTTTTCTTTAAAATATTTTATTAACTTGTTAATTTGAAACTCAGAAGTATGTACAGACTCAGAAATGTACCTTATCTTTACTCTCCATTAGCAATAAATGCATTATCACACAAGGGTGAAGAAAACACATCATATAGGCAGCCACTGAAATTGGCATTTTTTCTCTGTCAAGTAGCCAGGTGACATTTCACTTATGGAAACTGTTAAACCAGAGCATTAACAACAGATTCAGTTTACTTTCTATCTACTTAAAAGAGAACTGTTGTCACTATTTTGGCAATTAATGTTTGAAGGTGGGAGGCACTTGATTTATAAAAGACATTAAACTGGAGTCTGCTTTATAAAGCTAAAAGGGACTGATTATAAAACTTCACAGAAAAGGAAACTGTTTTTAGCAGTTTATGAACTGTGACAAGAGTGTCTTGCTTCAACGGGCGGTAGATGAAGCTGCTGTTATTAGAAACAAACTCACACTGTGAGATATAGATCATCAGTTTTGAACACTCTTTTCTCCTCAGTCCCTCAAATGAAGGAAATCTTACGTAGGGTACTGATTCACCGCAGTGTATCCCATGCCTGAAATCGTGGAATATCTTCCAGCACCAGAAAATTATTTACAGTAATTCTTGACTGTTATTTACAAGATTGGCAATAAAAATGGGAGTTCTTGACTGTGGAATTACCACATATGAGTGCTTACTTTTAGGCTTTTGGCTGGTTAAGCAGATCTAGTAGGTCCCTTTTCATCTACTTTAAAAATTGAAAAGGTTGAGAGTCCTGTGGTCAGTGAAATACAGGGTTGTGTGTATTTATATTTTATTAGTGTTATTAATAAAGAAAAAATTCAGGCTGGCTAAGGTCTGAACAATACTGAGCATGTGTTTGCATTGTTTGGTGGTAAATGGAAGTTTTGGTGGAATTTTAATTGCTAAATGATAAATGTCATTTGTAGGTTACTCTAAATGATGTCTCCTTGAAACAGATTTAAAGTATTATCTGGAAAACTAATCTGACTTTGGTGAGAATCTTTTAGCTGCTTTCAGTTGTCTGGAACTGCTGGTGTTTTTCAATCTGTGGTCCCACAAAGTTTGTACAACAAAGACTATACGTGCAAACTTTCAAGCACTGTGAAAGTCACAGAGGAATGCTTATCCATCTGGAACTTCAGTGACCTGTAAGTCTTTTCCTGTTGTTACTGAACACTTCTGGAAATAGAGTATCCGTGAATAGGATTCCTATTGCACCTTTAATTTTATGTTTTTATGGGTTTGGTGATTGACTATGCAAAATTTAGCCCAAAGTCAATATTCATCTAACATATTTAGAAATTTCAAAATACAATGGAATTATTAATTTGACTCTTAAAATAATTTATTAAATTGTCTTCATTACTTACTAGAAGGATAATCACATATTCTCTGTCCTACCATTGACTTCATTCTCCTCACAAATCTTGTTATTTTAATATATGTAATTGTTCATTTAATGTATTAATTAATAAAACCAGTCATCAGTGGAATATTTTACAGTGACACTTAAGGAAATCACTTTCTAATGTGCCAAGATCCCAGATCGATTCAAGGCTTTGTAAATGTGACAAAAATCAACTTGAACTGCAGTCAGAAAGGAACTGGG